TGCGCTGCGGCGCCCTTCCCTCCCTTCGTGGCCCGGGCCCACGCGGCAGCGAGCCTTGGCAGTCAGCTGTCGCGGTGCGGAGGGCTTGGGCCCGCGGGGAGGGGAAGCCCGGGCGAGGGAGCCTGGGCGCCGCTTGTCCCGTGGGTTCGGGGCGAGAGCTGCAGTGCGTGTCCCCTGCCTGCCTCTGTAGTCGGCGGCTGTGCGCTTTTGCGGGACAGGTTGGGATTTCTGTCCTGCCGTCTTAGATGTGCCAGCAGCAGAAAGAACGGGTTGTGAGAGTGAGTGTGGGAAAAAGAGCAGTGAATATGCTCGTATGGATGTCCCTGTGCTGGCACGGGTGTCTAACTACTGCTGGTTGAAAAACGTCTGAAGGAGTAAGTTAGAGTGCTGGTACTGATGGGACGGATGGATGAGAAGTGAGGAGTCAAAAAGGGAAGCGGAGCAAGTGTTGCTGGCTATGTGGAGGAGATGGGAAGTGACTGAATAGTGTTTGTTTCTCTTCTTTATAACTTTGCTTGAAACAATTATGTTTGCTTGACCCAATTTGCTTTTTCTCGCCTTTCTGTAATATTCTGCAGTATGAAAATGCCGTCATACGTGTAAGCATTTTCAAAGTCCGTGTGACAGGTTGTTGGAGCATATGATCAGCGTTCAGTAGTGTGGTAAACCCCTTCAGTTGTCATTCTCTAGCTGTCTGTTGCAACATCTGATCTAAAGTAGCTGTTCAGACTTTAAAGCTGGACTTGCATCCTCTTGCTTTTAGAGCAGAGTTTTGAAAATAAGGAATAGTTTGGGTACTTAGAGCAAAATTGGACACAAAATTCTGCTAACTGCAGTAGCCATCGGGAGTTCTTACTAGCAGGCTAACTTACCTGCTTGTTTCTACTATGTAAGTCAGCTTATTTTCAACACACTGGTCATCAGTGCTTAAGATGTTTTGTCCCACCGGTTCTGTACATCTGCTTCAGTGTACAGCAGATGTACAGAACTAAGGGGCAAAATAAGGCAAGAGTGTGGGGCAGCCTTGAAGTGCAAATGTTAGGATATCAAGACCCTGCTTATTTTTTCCATGCTCTCTTGAAACATGTAAAACTTGTATGTAGAGACCAGAGAGGTGTGCTTTGTTAATTTAGATGTGGGTTTGGACTAATTCTTCATGCTCTGAACTCTTGTGATCAAGAACTGGGATCACTTTGGTTGTGCTTACCAGTGGGATTGGCGGTCTCTAAGCAAATGAGCGGGTAGACAAGCGGAGATGACTGAGAGAATTTCAGCAGTGCTCCTCTTTTGATGCTGCAATAGTAAGCAGGCTAAATAGGTGATTGTATCTTAAACACGTACATTTCAAACTTTTTTTGCACTGTTCCAGTGATGTAGAATAGCAGTTGTAAGCCGACTGTAGCCGTTGATACTTTCTGGTTGTTTTGATGTTCTACAAAATGAGCCCTTAAAATTGAAAGTTAGCAGTTGTTGTGGTCTGTTCCTTTTGTTGGTTTAATTATTGTTTGGTATACTTTTCTTGTGTGTTTCAATGTTTGTTCTATTCATACACAAGCTGCAAAAATTCTGAGCTAGAATACTTGAATGTTGAGGTTTAGAGTAGATAGAAGAACAAAAACTAAGTTATAACCTCAAATTTAACAATGGCTATACCATCTCTGACCAGAACAGTAACCAGTATCTAATTTTGCAGTGTCCTGTCCCCGTATGTAGCAGCCAATTGACAGTTCAAAGTAAACGGTATGATGGGGTAAGATCATGGATCTTCTGTGCTTGATGAACTCTCTGAGATGTAATGTACTCCGTGTCCTAAGAGTGGTTTGTTTCTGACCCACTGTTACAGCGATCATCGAAGATGATAGAAGTATTACGGCAGTTTCCCCTGGTGACTGAGACCTGCGGTCACTGTATCGCCTCTGTGCTGGAATCGCTGTAGCTTCTGCCGTTGTAGATGCTTATTCATGAACTGGATTTTTCTTCTTATCACCTGGATTAGGACCCATTCTCATTATGTAACCTCAAGCTTTTCATTCTATACAGATAGGCTGAGGAAAATGGTTGGGTTTTTTTTGTTTGTGGTTTGGTTTTTGGTTTTTTTAAATGTCATTTTACTATCTGAACTTTATAGGACTTTACTTTTGCTGTGAGGTTTCAACTACTCTTCCCTTTGAAAGGGGGGGTATTTTTTCCAATATTTTTCTCAATCTATGAGAAACAGAGCCTTTCCTTTGATCCGTCTTTTCTGCCTATCATACTTCATAATCCACCTCAGCTAATTTAGATGTCTCTTCCTGTTTTTTTTTTATTCCCTGAGTTCTTTTCTCTGTCTCAAAGTCTGTCTGCTTTGAACCTTTTCTGTTCACACACTTATCAACTATTTCTGTCCCTTGCTGTGGTTCTTAGCTGTTTTCAAACCAAGGTCTGTAGCCTCTCATAGGCTTGGCACTAAATTCTTTGTTTGCGATCCCTATTTTCTCTCCTGTAGATCTATTTTATCAGTTGTATATCTTCTGTTCTTGTCTTTCTAATCTGTTTATCCCTTTCCTATGTGATCAATTTATTTCCCCTACAAAGTACCAAAACAATCATGAATAGAAGAAGACTCCATGAATTTAGAGACTAAGTTTAGAAAGAATATTTTACTCCTGCTTTTGGGAGAGGAGGGTCATTCTTTAAAAAGTTTATCTTGTAACATTGGAAACAAATCTCTTACACATAGGAAAACTATTTTAACTCAAGTTTTCTGAGATGCAGTGGCCTCTCTGTAGATAATTACCATGTTAACAACACATGCATGCTTTCTCCTGCTTCCCAGTGCAAAATGTACACGGTTTTGTGTTATGGTAAATATAGGTTGACTTAAAAATTGCTTACCTTTATAACAGGTAAATGCAAAGCAAGCTTTGGATTTTAAATGATAGAAGGATAGAAGAAAGGTTGTACTACCTTTGAGTAAACATGACATGTAAGATTCCAGTCAAGAAGTCTCTTCAGTCCCTACTTCCCGGTGTTTTCTCTACCAGTGTCTACTACATGAGTTCATCAGTCTCTGTCATTGTCAGAGAATGCATGGTGTTTCTGTCCATACCAAATGGTATTCCTTTTTGTTCTGGACAATTTGATTAATTCTTTTCTCCCCCCCTCCCCTTATCTGATGGTCTCCACATTTGTCACCCCAGCCTCCAGTTTATTTCAAATTTGATTTTATTGCTTAGGGGCATAGCTCTCTTGCTTGTAAGGAAGCAGATCTTCCCTCTTTCAAGCGTTGATTATGCAGGTTGGAATAGAGCCAGTTTTATCTGTTCTACCTGTTTATCTTGTTCAACTGTTAGTGCCAGAGAAAGGAGTAAGCAGGGAGAATGGCTCCTCTTTTCTCTCATTTAGAGGCAGCATATGCCAGTAGGAATGCTTCAGAGTACTCTTTCCTTATGCAGACTGCTGCAAAATAGATGTCTAACTACCAGAAGAGCCTTTTTCATGGTGTAAATGAGAGGGTTTCCAAAGGGTCAGCATTAGTGAATATAAGTTCTACTCTTTACCGAGGAGTTGGAAGAAGACCAAACTGAGATTGAGGATGTAATTCTGTCTTTTTTATTTTTTTTTTCCCTTCTGTATTAGCAATTTAATTCTCATTACATTTTAAAGACTAAGCTGCAATAGCTGTTGAATTATTTCTTCTGCTGGAGTAAACTTCACTCAAAGGAGGAGGTTTGATGTCTGGGGGTGGTTTCCACATCAACCATCTGTTTTTGCTGGTACTTGAGTCAAAGCCCACAGTTGTTTCCTTTCTCCTTTCCCCTCAGCTACCCCCTCCCCCCCCTACCTTGTAGTTTAGCAGCTGGTGCATTTTTGGGGTGGAGCCACAGCTTTACTCCTTTTCACCTATGCTAGAAAATAAGTTTTGTTCCCTGTATCCCCTATCCCGTTTGGGATCAGGTGGTGCATGTAGCTCGCAGAGAGGAGTGATTCTTTATATTGCCTTATTTCCTTAAACAGCCATGCTATGCTATCTTTCATCTCTTTATGCTTTCTCTAGTGTATGTCTTGTAACCCTTGTTCCTTTTGGCATAGAGTTCAGTTTTCTTCCTCAGTTCTTTCTTTATAATGATGATCTTATTTACAGGCAAAGTACTTTCACTTTTCTAGACCTTTTCAGTAGCCAACATGGTAGCAGGCATTTGTAACATCTGAATGATGGTGCTTTTCAGCTTTTCCATGAAGGAGGAACAACAGAATTCAAAAGAAAAACTTCTCTAGGGTGACAGCCTTGGCAGCTAACTGGAATGTTGAAGCTCAGAGCTGCTTTGTCAATCGAGCAACAACAAAAAAAAAAAAAAGTCTAGGCAATGAAATGAAGTGACTTAACTCCTCTGGGAAGAGGACACCAAAAAGAAAACTAGAGCAATTAAGCAGTAGTGCAAACAGTAGAATATGTGTTGCATTTGGTGAAATTGCAAAGAATTAATATATAAAAATTTCTCCCAAATGTGAGTACACAGTAATGTTACAGTTGGGCTAAAAGAAGCTATCTGTCCAATCTCAATCAGTTTCTGTACGGTGCTAGATTTTTAGATATATCTGTACAGTTCAAAGAGAAGATCTTTCATGTCCTAAATCAAGCAATAAAAAAAGCTATAAACATGTAATTGATGTGGTTCCTATTATCGTACAGAATGACATGAAAGAAGTTCCAGAATAACAAAATGCAAAATGTTCCCCTTGTTCTTACTTGGTATTACCTAACTCATTAATATTCTAGGCTGTGAACTTAAAAACTTGTTAAATATGGATATTTGTGACTTTTGGTATCAGTGAATCCTTTTTCTTTGCAGTTGATTAAATGTGCAAAGTATTCCACTTTTCCCAAAACACATTATCCAGTGCTTGCAGATAAACTGTTAACGTAAGTCTGAAAGCCCTTTGCTATTTTGAGCAATTTACATAAAACTGGAGTTTAAACTGATAGAAGCACAGTTACATTTGTGAATGTAACTTCAAAGTGTCATTTACTCTGCAAGTCTACATGTGTTTGGAAACACTGCTGCCTTCTTTAGTGCAGACAAGTTTTGATTTTTTTGTTATAAGGCTTTGATGTTTCCATTCTGTGGTAGAATAAAACACGTTTCTTTTACTTTCATTCTGTAAACAAGTGAATTGTAACTCTAGTTTGAAGTCTCACCTTAGAAAACCTGTTTGCTATTTTCCCAGAAGGAAGTATATCTTTTTGTTGTCTAAGTAATCAGGTGTTGAATCGGCATCTAAATGATTTATTTGTAGGAAAGATTCCCTTTTAAAGTTGTCTGGCACAATAGACTCAATAGGAATTGGCAGCCTATTATAAGTGCTGCTAGAATATGTCATCAGTTTAAAGCCATGAATATAAAATCCCCAAATATCACTCTTGCTTTCAGAGCAAAAAATAAAGCAGCTCAACTTAGAACACCTCAGGAAGAATACGCTGCTGTTCTGAAGCTGTTCCAGATCAGTCCCTGACAGCACACATCGCTGGTTCAGTTTCTCACTGGCCTCCAGCCTGTCTGCACAGAGCGGAGCAGCGTGTTAAATTTGCTGTTCAGCATGGTTTTATGGGTTGCACAAGTATGGCTTCGTGAAACACATTTACCAACCAGTGCTTACAATCACAGAGCAAATCAGTACAGGAATAGAGATCTGGGTGTATTCTTTTCCTGGTTTAGTTTGACAGTAGCAGTTATATGACTGTCGATAATACGAGACTTCCATGGAAAAAAGGAAGGTAGACTTGAATTTTGTAGGTGTTTTTAATATGAAAATCTGACAAACGGCATTCACCAGATACCTAGGAGAACCAGTTTTAACTGGATTTCAGATTTATTTTTTGAAAAACTGCAGAGACCAGAAACAGGTTATTTTAATTGTGACTGTGTCTCAGAACATCTCGCGTTTTGAGGAACTCTCTGAAAGTGGTAAAACCAGTGAGATTACACACACCCACAGTAGTTTAAATATACAAAAAAGTATGCAAGGCAGCTAACTAGTGATATTTGGTCTATAAAAAGAGAAACTTGGCTTTCTTTCAGAGATCAGTTTTTTCTTAACCTAACACTCTGGGGCTATTTGTGATATCTACATTTCATACTAATAGTGAAGATTTGATAGAATGAAGCATTCTCAGCTTCAGCATGCTTTGCAGTTGAGATGACACGAAGGGCCCTTCTTTATGGAAGATAATACACAAAATTTTCCCAACCTGAAGCAAAATCCTTTTTGTAACTCTGTTTTTTCATCCAGAAAGTGTGAGCAGCTGGGTGGGGGCGTGAAGAATGAGATGAGTTTGGAACAGAATGCCTTGAGCATTCAGATGGTCATGTTTGTGAGCAAGAAACAGCAATCTCTTTCTGAGAAGGTTAGAATACAGAATCTATACCAAGCCTGTTACAACATTTGAAACAAGAAAAATCATGCAAAGGTAAAATGTAAAAAAGCAAAAAACCTTACTACCACATTTTAAATATAAATAAAATTTGAAAGACAGGTGAAGGCAAAGGATGGTACACATTCCCAGGACTCATAGCCCTCTGTTTTGCTATTGACTTTTCAACAGTGGGAGTTGTGTTGCTTTTACCGCTGCTATGGGGTGTTTATGATGTACCATAACAAATAACAATTCCTGCATGAAATGGAATGAGCATGTAGATTGTGTGGATGTTAAATTCAATTTGTAAAACTAGAGACTCAAATGAAGTTCTGATAATGTATCACTGTTTTGGCTTGCTTAGCATAGTCCTATTTTTTTTTTTTTAATTCTGCCATCCTCTGAGCCAGTATCTGTATAACCCATTTGACAGCTCTGAATGCTGTTAATGAAATTAATGTTAAGTTTTTATTTTTGTTGATATTGCAAACTTAATCCTTTTCATTGCATTCTTACCTGATGTCTTCTGGATACCTGCTATGTTTATAAGAGAAACTGTACAATAAAGTTGTAAAGATGACCGGAAAAAAGCTGCTGATGATAGAAAAATAAATAGTGAATCTTGCACAAACTGTAAAGGTTTCCTTCATGGCTGTATATTAGGGGGAGCAATTGTAAACTTCCTAATCATGGTTCGACAGTGGCAAGACAAGGATGCTTTCTTCAGTCTTTAGCCAAACTGAAAGCAGATCTGGGGAGGTAGTACTAAAGCATTATATGTAGCTGTTAAAACAATACAAATGGACCATATGTCTTGAATATATGTATTACTAGTGAAGACTGATGTAAATGGCTCATAAATAGGTAATGTGCCAGAAGTACCTGTACCTTAATTTTCTATGTGGAGGAAATGTGAAAGTGGGCATCCTTGAATAAAAGTTACTTCTTGCCTGCAAATTTTGTAGAAAAATATTGTAGTTGTTCCAGCTTTACAAGTATTAAAACAAAGTGTGAATATTAAGCAATTAAAGTAGATAAGTTCAAATGAAGGTGAATAAAATAAAAAAAAACCAAAAATTTTAAAAAGCACAAAACCATATAGGTTGTATAGAAACTACATCTTTATATAGGGCATTTGTACTGACTATAACTAATAGCTTGCTTACCCTTAGAAACAGATTGCTGGAACACGAGCCAACCGTATACCTGTAATTCAGCCTATTTTAACAATTCAAATTCAGCCATTTCTATCTCTTCTTGTCATTCTTGTATCTCCATAAACAAATAGCATTCTTAGCTCTTACTTTGCAACATTGCTATTGAATACATTTAAGAATTATTGTTATTTTGCTAATTTTTTCATATATTCCCTTCTCTTTGAAATAACAGATACTATAGAATAGCTGGCTTCTGTGCTTGGTCTTGTGACAAAAATGTGAGTCCATACTAAAATTTAGCATTTTTTTTCTTCTTTGAATCTTCAGATTTCCTGTTCAAGTTCTTGGTCATAGGAAATGCTGGAACAGGGAAATCCTGTTTACTACACCAATTTATTGAAAAGAAATGTAAGTATATGTCAGCACATCAAGAGTTCTCCATTGGTTTGTACCACAGATGAAGGCTCTGCCTGCATGAGTATCTATTCTTTATATGGAAGTTCCTGTAATTCTCTTATTTGTAAGATGAGGATTTTGGCTGAGAATTATAACATGCATTTAGAAACCTTTGTAAATCTAAGGTGGCTATTATCTTTCTCAACTGAATGGTAATTCACCTTATCTCTTGAGGAATAGCTCTAGGAAAATAATGTGTAATCACTAAGGAACATGGCATGATTCTATGATTGAACTTGAACCATGGCCTTGCTTCTGGTATGGGCAGTTGTATTTTGAGAATCTGTGACATCAACACTGTACATAGAGCAAGTATGTTAACTTTGTACTTCAAAGAAGTGGCTCTTGCTTATTCATGGGCAAGACTGTGTCTTTTTATGTCCTGCTTTTCTGTGAATTTTAATTTTTAATTGAATCAAAGTATTAGGAAACACGGGTAGAAAAAAAAAGTGTACAAAAGTTATCTTGCCGTTTATTAATGTGAACTGGGAATTATTTTATTAAGGCAGGCCTTTCTAATAGTAATTTTGAATTTAGTGAGCTGTTCAAAAATTGTAAGAATGTTTATTTCTGCATGTTGGCAACAGACTTATGAGTGGTACTGAGTTTGATGGCTCAGGAATTAGTTTGTAATTTGAACACTGAGTAGTTTTGTTTATACCTAAATTGGATTATGTAAAAACTAATTATTCACTCTAAATATTCTCCCAATAAGTCTGGTTTTATTTCTTTTTTTGTAGTCAAAGATGACTCAAATCATACTATAGGAGTGGAATTTGGTTCAAAGATCATAAATGTTGGTGGTAAATACGTGAAATTGCAGATATGGGATACAGCAGGACAAGAGAGATTCAGGTACCCTTTTCAATCATTTTATTAAGTGTTTGTTATTAAATTGCTGCTGTGGGTGTTGGGTATTATTTATCCCTGCTTATAAGCAGGCATAGTTTCTTGGTCAGTGGAATTGTTTGTCTGCTTTCATATTATTAACTAGGCCAGATCCTCCAGCTTGGACACAGCAACATAGATCCATTGATTTCAGTAAAGCAATGCTGCCTTGCAGGATCTGAGGTTCTGCCCTTTCTTTCCTCGGGTATTTTCTGTGATAGTTAAGGTATATGAGTAGAATATGTGGCTAAAAGTTTGGGGTTTTAAGTTTTTTGGGGTTTTGACACCAGCCAAACTCAGAAGTTTTTTAACTGTGTGTACAGGGAAAAAAATCGGTTGTCAAGTTCACTTGGCTAAATACACTTCTAGAAAGACCGAGATCTCTTAAGTTTCTTCAAGCAAAAGCAATGTATTTGTCAGCTTAGAACCACCACTCAGTAAAGATCTGGTGTAGTCCTGAGTACATTCACCATCAAAAAGGACATCAGTTTTTTGTATTTTTTGCATGTGGGGTGGGGAAGGGGAGGTTTCTTTGGCTTGAGGGGGGCAGTGGTTAGCAAAGGTGGTAGAAGTGTGAGTAATGGGCAGCAATAATGTCCTCTATTAGACAAGTTCTTTGGATACATCCAAACTAGGTGGAGCTGGGCAGTGCTCTGTAGTCTCTGTTAATGAGATCTCTTCAGTGTCTTGGCCAGATATCCTGGGATACTGAGGAGCTTGGAGGCTCTGTACTTTCAGAGGCTTGTGTAAATTCTGCTCTTTCAAGTTCCAAGTGTTCACAGACTTGCAGGTCCTTTTTCTCCTGTTGCTTTTAATAATCTATCCAGTTCTTTTTATGGCTGATCACACCTCTTAGCAGGTTTTCTTCTCCTTCCTCTACCTTTTGAAGGATGCTTTGTTTTGATTGCCTTGCCTCCTTCTATTCAACTTAAGGAGTCTTAAATTTTTCAATTACAGCTACTTTGCTCATTCTCTCCTCAGTGCTGAGCATTCAAACCTAAGGTCATTATGCTGGTTTCATGCCACAGATACCACTGTCAACTCCCAGTTATGTGTCAGGCCATGTAGAATGATGATATGTGTAGCTTCAGCAGCACACGGGTCATAATGGACTTTGAGAATCCCTGTACAGCTATATTTAATGAAGTGCTTTGTCAAAAGTCTAGTTGTAAATAGTCTGCTGCTGCACAGCTGATAATGTTGTCTAAAACCCACATTTTATTTTAAATATGCAAATGAGAATTCTGTTTCATAATACAGCTTGCATTAAATTAACCCAGATTTGAAACAATTAAGATATTATAGAAATGTACATCCGTAATTCTATTTCAGGTCTGTAACAAGGAGTTACTACAGAGGGGCTGCAGGTGCTTTGCTTGTCTATGATATAACCAGGTAAGGAAGCTACCAACTCTTTTGCTTATGACTACCAGATACAATTAATGCATATTGTACTTATTTACTGTACTTATAGTATTGTACAATATTGTACAATTAGCACTATATTGTGTTAATACATACAGTTAACCCCCCAAAGCACCTAATCCTCTAACGGAGAATGGGCAGGAAGAAAACAAGTATAATAAGTACTTCTCTTTTGGTGCATGTTTAAGTTTTGGAACTTGCTTACATGAGATACTGTGAATGTCACAAATGTAAACAGTCTCAAAGGGTTAGACAAATACATGGGAATTGGCCCGCCAGTAGCTGTTCTAATCATGGTCGACTGCATGCAACCGCTGGCTTGGGAAGCCTTGCAACAGAAACAAGAGCAGACTTCAGCCACTCTTAACTGGGATGGTACACCCCATCCTCCAGAAGCTAGTTCTACCCACACATTCCTTAACTGTAGCCCCAAATTCAGTTCATCTCTGCATCTTTTAATATTTTAATATTATAGGCAGCCAACAGAATTACCATTACACATTTCCACATTTTTTTCCTGGCTACCATGGACTGATACTTGTCAGATAAGTTTCATGTTGGTTAATGACGATTCACTACATGGGTTGCTTTTTGTCCTGCGAGTGGACTGTTCTCCTCTGAGCAGTCTTTGAAACCTGTATTTTGTGTTTAAGGTCAGTTGGACTCATTTGTCAGTCTTGCTGCTTGAAGGCTTTATCTCTGGCCACCAGTGCAATGACTGATGTTGTGTGCAGGGTAACTGCCTGCAATATTGGTCTTGACACAAGTGTGAAAGTTCAGGCAGGCAATTCTCCACAAGCGTAGTAAATTCTTACAGTCCCACCTGAAACTTAAGTATCAGTTGAATTCCATGTTAAACAATAACTCATTCTGTTATCCCAAAATTTCATGCACAAAAGGCTGAAACTAGATTAGTTTTAGCTTTTCACATTAACAGGTTATTTTATAATTGTGTATATTTATTTATATATTGTGTATCAATTAATTTTGCTTTTTAATAACTCTAAGCTTTTAAATAGTTTCATGAAGGAACTTGATACTCTTGCCAGTTCATAGCTGGCATATTGAGATGTGTAGGTGACTTGCCTGACTAGCAGCAATTTGTGGTTTGCCACAAATACAGATTTGCCTCCTGAGTTTTAGCTCAATCATCTAGCGTTCACTAGAAATGAGTGTGTTCTAATAAAGGATGTCATTTTCTATGTAGCCGGGAAACCTACAATGCACTTACTAATTGGTTGACGGATGCAAGAATGTTAGCAAGTCAAAACATTGTGATAATACTGTGTGGAAACAAAAAGGATCTTGATGCAGATCGTGAAGTTACTTTTTTAGAAGCATCCCGGTTTGCACAAGAAAATGGTAAGTAGTTCTAAATCTTCATGTAGCATTCAAAGACGCTTAATATTACTTTTTTTTTTGGTGCGGTTAGGGAGTACTTTGCCCACTGTACCTTGCCAGAGATCTACAGAAAAGAGAATTCTGTCAGCACATGAGGCACAGAGAGAGGACAGTGCCTGCTGTGAGAACTACATGTACTATTTAACTCTCATTGCCAGTGATTCTTCTAGTCACAGCTGCTACTTAAAGAATACCTTCTATGTGGAGATATATGCCCTAGAGAATGTAATACAGCTTCAGGTACTGCCTTGCCTCCAAAGGGCTGAGGAGAAAACGGAGAGCACAATTTCCTAGTTTTCAGCATCTTATAGGTTCTGTAGGTTATAGACAAGGTTGGATGGGGTGTGCTGCAGCTGGAAGCAATGAGTTTTTCTCATCGGAAACTGAGTTCAGTGCATGGCATGGATCCACAGGACTATTACCTGGTCTGTAGTATTCAGAATTTCCAGTCTGAGGGCACATTTCTGCAGCAGCTAAAGCCAGTCTCAGTCTGAGCTGCTGTGCTGTGCTGCAGTCCTGCCACCAGTAAAATATGGTTTTGCTTTTATAAGTCATTATAAATAGTTTTTTCTACAAACTGTGGCTGCTAGGCTGTCCTTTTGTGTATAACTTGATATTAATGGGCAACTATATGAAGTTCTTTGGTTTCATGCACTGTTTTGCATGCACAGCCCAGGTTGTTATCTCTGGATTCCAATTACATTTCAGAGGAGGTTTTTTGTGGTTATGTAATGAAAAGCTAATTTTTCCAGACAGTACTATTTGACAACAGTTGTTCTTAAGAAAATTTTGTTGTTCCTAGCTTTCATGCTTTGAATCATTGTATTAGATATTCCAGGCTTGTTTTGAGATTATTTTTCTGCTGTCAAATGCAGAGCTGATGTTCTTGGAAACAAGTGCACTAACGGGGGAAAACGTTGAAGAGGCCTTTGTACAGTGTGCAAGAAAAATACTCAATAAAATTGAATCAGGTAAATTGAGATTTAGATTTTTAATTTTTTTTTTCCTGAAAAAAAATATTTTTTTTTGTGGTAAAATAACTCGTTTGGTTTATAGCTGCTTCCCATGTTTTAATAGAAATAGATGTCTAAGTCAGATCTGTATATCTAAAAGGGGGGATGGGGGTGAATTATGGATGTTTTTACACGATGTTTACCTTAACAGTCAGCTCTGAGCGGAGGCTGTGCATTCTGTGGGTTGCTGTGTCCTTAAAAACATCACGCCTGACGTTTGACAGTTTAGCAATGCAGAATAAAAACCTAGTGTCAGGGCAGGCATAACTTCTAGTTCTGTTTCTTACATGTAGCAAGAAATACAGTCAAGAGAATTTGAACAATAATACTGAAAACTTTAGGGATGTTTCCTAGCAACTGTGTTTCTCTGAAGTGACCTTCCTGCCTCTCGATGGAAACCATTTTTGCTTTTGCAGATCTAGAAGTATACCAGGAGCTTCTCAGCACAAGTGGGCAGGTTTCTATCAGAGACAGGCTCCTAAGTGTTAGGTGTCATAACAGCTAATTTGCATTCCGTTTTTTTTTTCTTTTATCTTCTAGTTGTTTGATATCTTCAAAGTTTTAAGCATTGGCCATATTGAAAAGTCTAATTACAGATTCTAGTTACACATTTTGAATGCCTAATACATTTTTTTAGATAAAAAAAGAATACGGTATTTTCATAGGAATTTCCTGATTACTGCATCAAATCAATGCCAAATGGCAGCTTTCATTTTAAAGAAACCAACCAACCAAACCAAAAAGCAGAGTATAGCTAGTTTCTCATGGTACTGTAGTTCCATGATGGATTTAAAGAGGCATTACCACAACAGAAGTAAGTCCTGTTTTCTGTGAGCTGTTCTGTTTTCTTTGTGCCAGCACACATGCACTGCATCATAGAACAATTGAGACTAGAAAGAACCTATGGAGGTCTCTAGTTCAGCCTCCTGCTTAAAGCATGTTCAGGTTCCAAGTGAGAGCAAGTTGCCTGGGGCTTGTTAAGGCGCATTTTGAGATGCTGCAGAAAAAGAGATTCCACAGCCCCTCTGGGCAGTGTGTCTCAGCACTAACCAATTGCTGCTACCTACCTAGTCAGTCCCCACAGCCTGTACCAGTGCATGGGCTTTTTCCATCACAGGGCAGAGCTCTGCATGTATAGTTGCTGAGTTTCATGCAGGTCCTGCTGGCCTGTTTCTCTAGGTCAGCCAAGGTCTTTTCTGAATGGCAGCCCTCGAACTATCAACTGATCCCCACAATGTGCTGTCATCTGCTGACTTAGAAGGCACACGTGTGCAATGAACCTGAATTATTCAGAGGGATTCTTTAAAATAAAAAAGAACCACCTAAATGTTTCCAATCTTGACCACTCCACCATACAGCTGTAAGAACATTTCAGAAGACACAGAGTGTGGAGTAGGCAGAAAGGAATAACAGAAATAGGGAAGGCTGAGATAATTGCCTCTGGGAGCAGTGCTTTATGGAATCCTACTGTCAGATCGATCCATTTTTATCTGGCTTGGTATCTACAGTACTTCCATCTCTGCATATTAGTCTCTGAACGCAGGTGGTTTTTAACAGTGTTTGCAGAAAACATTTTTGACGTTTCCTTTGTTAGAAGTAGTTAGTGTGAATCTATTTCTTGTACCAGCCCAACTTGGAGACAAACTGCTTTGTCATTGTAGTCACTGATTAGGGACACGTAGTTGAAATTAGAAGAGAAAACTACACAGGTTTGAAATTGCCTAAAAGTAATCAGAATTGAAATAGATTTCTCCGTAACTAGAGTAGAATGTCATTGTGCATTTTTATCTAATGCTGTCAGTTAAATTGGAATGTATTATTTGCAAGCGATCCATCTTCTCATGACTATTTTGTTTCTTATCAGGAGAATTGGATCCAGAAAGAATGGGCTCAGGTATTCAGTATGGAGATGCTGCCTTGAGACAGCTGAGATCACCACGTAGAGCACAAGCACAGAGTGCTCAAGAATGTGGGTGTTAAAGAAACAAAACACAAAATCCCAAATACTCACTTTAGATACGAAAGGTAAGGTTACAGAAATCTCAGGGTGTTGGGTAAATTGCCAGATTTCTTAAATGAGCTATATCGAGTGCTTGGCCTTTTCTCAGCATAGAATATAGTGAAATAAGGTGCAGTAGAATGGATTTCTTTTTTTTTATACTTTGATTTTTTTCTTCTACCATTTGTCCACTAACACAAGACTAGTGCTCTTACTGAAGTATTTGCAGATATTTGCTTACTCTGAGTAATGCTGTAGAAAACATTGAAAAAATCCGTATTCCTGAAATGCATTATTGCCCTAGTAGTTACTCAATGCACAATGCTACCTTTGACAATGTTAATCATTCGTGTGGTATGAGAATGAGAATTCACAAAATGTATGGTGCAGTATCTTGTCCAAAGCTATTATGTAGTCTTTTCTGAAAATACAAAATTTACAGACTGAGACTTTAAAATTAAATACTGGATTTCAACCTTCCACTTTTTTTTTCCCCACCTAAAACCAGCCCAGAGTGGTTCTGATTCCTGTCTGCTATGAGCAGACACATCAACAAGAGAATAGTATTTGCTGCTCAAGCAGTGTTGTCATCTAAAGTAGCTCCTCCTAGGGCTGTTGCAGCCTATGGAATGGGTGTGCAGCCTTCTAAAGGTCTTCCAAAGACATTCTTCAGAAGAAGTGAGGAACAGATTTTTCCTTTTGGCAGCAGTAGGGGAAGAGACCTAAAAGTCCGTAACCTACTCCCAAGAACAGCTTGGTGGTTAGTCTTTCTTATAAATAGTTGTCCTTAAGACACCTCTCAAGATTCATGGGTTTTTACTTAACTCCTTGCAGTATGTAAGTGGCTGTTAGGACAGTCATTTCTCCCTCACTCAGGGAGGCTAATTAAGGAATTGCTGTGTAGTTAATGATTCTGATATCGTTAATCCTTATTTCTCTAATGCAAGGACAGCGATATCAAATTAAACAAGTACTGCAGGCACAGTTACGGCGTCATTTTTACTGTGTTCATTTTTCATCAGTTTGAGCAGTGCGCACCAGCAGAAGCTTTACAGAACATTAAACAAGGGAGCATGTAATTCTACATCCTCATATGTTGTTCTGTATTCCAGGAGCTTAGTTCCCAATTAGAGCTCGGAATTTTAAATAATGGATAGGAATCCTTGAACTGCTTTTCTCCCATATTTTCCTCCTGTAAAATATCATCCTTCAACTAAGAGGCTTCTGGAAAAGGGCATTAATTTAGTCCAGCTTCGGTACAGCTCTACAGGAGTGAATAATTATTGATAGTCTTTCAGGAGCTGGATTTTCAGATTCATCAAATGCAGATAATTGATGGAGTTCTTGTGTGTGTTACAGCTGTCCTTGCAAGCGGTGTTTGAAGAAACAGAAAAGCTTGAAGGCTATGCAGTTTTTTAAAAGCATCTTTCCTGTATGTACAAACAGAGCAGACCACTGCTGACGGAAGGGTGTACCGTGTGGTGTGGGGCAGGGATGTTCACGTGACACAAAAGTCTGCAGAGCGAACTTGGTAATTAGGTGGACAATATTAAGACTCATACCTGTATGTAAGCATTTTCCATTACCTATTTTTGTTCATTTACCTCTAGTTTAAAGCATTGCTATATACTGTAAATAATGTAACAGTAAATTTACAAAGCATGGTATACTTACGTATGCTGATAGAACGTTGCACTACAAGCAGTTTAATATTTTATTTTTTTATCATATAAACAAATTTAACTGAGGTAGGCTTTGTCATGTTTGTTTGCACAATAGCTTGTATTTATGACCTGAATTATAAAAACACTGGCACTGTCAGTGAGAGATTGTTGGTTTATTTTTTCCTAGTTTGCCACGTTCTAACAAGCTGTTGACATGACTGATTCTCAACATATGGTTAGGACCCGTACTTATGTTTGCTAATATGTCAAGTTGGAAAAGTAATGTTTATTGACATTTACATATCACAGTTCTTAAATAACTTCTGAAGCTCTTTTATCAAACTTCAAAAGTTTTGAAAAAATACTTTTAAGTCTCTCAAATGCCTGTCGACTGACTTGGAATTTTTTTTTTTCTCGGTGCTGATGTTTTGTATAGCACTGGCGTTATGAAGGTGGAATGTATATGTGAACAGAACTGTGCGTCTTCTCTGTGCATTGTAATTCTAGGGTAGGGGCGTGGGCTTATGGAGAATTACCACAGTAGGAGTTGTCCTAACCTCTTATCATAAACGGAGCAATCAGCTGTGGAAATCCAATCTCTGTTGAAGCACACCTGGTGAGGTACAAACTGAACCCAAATGGGTCCTTCTGAAGTATCCTCAATGTATGAATTTTAAAATAATAATTTCTTTTTCTTATACATTCATAAAGTATAATTAAGAACTTGAATTTTAAAATTCGGCCTTCAAATTGCAAGCGTACAGTCTGTCTTGCTGGAGCTCTACCTTTGAACTTCATGTGAGCACACTGTATGTAATGCTGTCCACATCACCCCCAGGAGACTCGTGTGATGGAAGCAAAAACCCAAGCATGCTACTTCTGTAGTTTGATCTTCCCATGAAACTCATCAAGGGGAATTTCAGCCTTGGTACAGGGGTTTTTTTGGGGTGGTTGGGGTTTTTTTTTGGTTTTTTTTTTTTTTTTTTGGGTGCTAAACCATACAATTTAGCCTTTCTTTCCTGCCCTTTTTTTGTTGTGGGGAAGAGACATGGGGCAAGAGGTTAGGAATCTTGTCCTCATTCCTCAACTGGAAACAGAAGAGACTTGCAGAGGGAGGACAGAGCCACAAGCATTGCCTGTCATTTTTAGACACTGATCAGGTAAGAGACCTGTGGCTTTTGGTTTGCCAGATAAGGAGCTGCAGAACTAAGCCAGTGGTTCTGGAGGTAGCTGAATTCAACCAGTTGAGGGGGACAATTTCGTTTGCACTAATGGAGGTAAAAAAAAAAAAAAGACTAATGACATTTTTACTTAATTACATGTAGAACCAGAAGTGGGATGTCTCCTTGGAAGCGCAAATTAACATGAAATAGTTAATTTGATCAGAACCCAGTATTGAAATTCCAAGGTCATACATGCTTTATTATTTTCTATATTTATTTCTTTTCTATTTAAGGATCGCTTGTCAGATGGGTGTTTAAAATTAAACCAGAAAACTGAACTGATGCTGTTACTTTTGAGGGCAGTTAACGTATGAGAGCCAAGCACGAATGCCACACAGAGGTATATCAGCTTTCAGGGAACTGGAATTGAGTTTAAAACTATTCCCTTCGTCCTGGCATTTTTGGTTCAAGTGGTAGGATAGCTCTGAATTGAAAGGAATGAAGTTTGCTTTGTACTTGAAATGCCTAGGTTTAGTTTTCAAAAGGCTTTACATCTTTACATCTCTCTGGTATGTATCTTGTTATATGTAGGATTGGATTTAAGTAACTGGTAACAGTTGTTCCCAAGGAGTGTTCTCTTCCTGGTAAGAGCGTATTTTTTAAGCAGCTTAACTGTGCATTTACCAGAACATCAAAGAACTCCAAAGAAACTTACCTGTCTTAATCCTCACTCTATTTTGGCTTCCACTGCTCAGAAGGGGAAGTAATTACCAGAAGCAAGTCCTGGGAGATAGGTGATGGATGTAGTTGTCTCTTCCACCAGTCCAAATGGCATATTATTAATTGAGATGCATTGTGTTTCTGCCAGGGCTGGGGAGGGAAGGGTGTTGGTTCTGAAACACCAAACCAGTTCTGGAATGCTGGGAAAAGAGATGATTTGGGGCAGCCTGTTTTCCCCCCTGCTTCCTGCAATCTAATCGGGTTTCTTGATACACTGACAAAAGTGCAAGCTGAGCACTTATTTATCAGCTGGGACATGGCACAAGTAAAGCTAAAGGTCTCTCTCCTGTCACTGCTACAACGGTTGAAGTGGTGTTGGCTGTTGATCAAAACTGCTTTCTGTTATTACAGTACCAGTTGAAAGGAGCAGGGGACTGTTATAAATTCTGTTGCTTTTAAATAGAAATTTTAGGGGCGCTTGGCAGGGATTTTCTTATACTTCTTCCTGTCCTTTTCCCTTTACATACAAGAGTGGCCTCTTCTGTGTAACACTGTTCTTATGATCATTTTGGTCAAGTGTCTGTGGTTCAGAAGCAGTAAGCACAGTTTTATTCTTTTTGTAACCAACTGTCTTCCTACCTGGAAAGAAAGAATAGCATCATTATAATGAGTTTTGATATATTTTTACCATTTTTTAATATATTCTTACTGTATACACATTAACCAGGTTAATGTGTGTGTTTTGTAATATCACAACCTTTTATGCTGCATCTCACTGACATTTTAAAAGGAAACTTCCTAAAATGACAACTCCTGAGGGAATTACTGTTGGAAGCAATAGCTCTCACCAGCGCTAAGTCTATTGTTTACTATTTCTCCTCTGAGGTTTTTTTTATTTCTGAAAATAAACATCATGCCAATAACAGCCATAGAGTAGATTTTAAGCTTTAGCATTATAGTTCACACAGCAAACCAAACCTAGCTCACCTAAACAGTAACTGATAAATAGGTTATGTGTACTTTTTAGTGTAAAATTCTTACTTTACCAAAGCAAGATGGCTTGGAGTTTTACATGAAATAATACTGGGTACCTATATCCTAGGATTTATTGGATGTGGAGCTTTAGCTGTTCAGACCTTTAAAAGATTTAAATGTCTTATTAATGCCGGTGTCTTGCCTTGAACTGAGTCTGTTGGCTTACACTATTTCATTTAATGCTTGTATCTAGCACCAAATAAAAAAAATCTTTCCTGATTTTCTAGGTGTTTTACAGCAAATTCTGTTTACTTGCACAAATTTTGCCTGCTAAGTGAAGCCTGTAACATGACAAATCTTAGATGGTCTTAAAGAGACACTTCTGCTACATTCATTGCATAGTCAGTATGTGCCTAGGAAAGCAGCTGGAGTGCCTCAGTGCATTTCCCAGGAGCAGGGCCCTGGGTGCGCTCTGGTAGCAGCTTTGCCCCTGGCATGGGAGGGCCCCAAGGCTGCTGCTGCCAGCCCCTGTTAGAGAAGAACAACGTATTGCTTCCCTTCTGTGTGCCCTTGAGGGGTCACAGCTGCAAAGGTGAAAGGTGGGCTTACTTTCCTTCTGCCTGAGATGGATGTGTCAGAGCCAAGATCTCTCATAGTGATGCAGCAGCCAGTTTTTTCCCATGTTGCCCTCCTTTTTCCAAAGTTCTACATTAAAATTCCCTAAGGCTTCTGTATGCCTAGCACTAAATTAACTATAAATATAAATTCCATTATATTTTAGGCTCTATTTTTTCCTTGTTAGTAGTAGAAAAAGCCAGTTGGACTAGGAAAGTGTATTAAAAAGCTGTGGGAGAGTTACAGGAGGAACACAGGAGACAAGCTGTGCTCTCAGCTGTACTTGTAATCTGTCCCTTTACCCAACACCAGTCATTACAGAAGCCTGTCACTTAGTTTCCAGCAGAGAACATACAGCACAAGCAGAAGCCAGGGTTTGCATGTAGCAATTGAAGCACCCTGTAATGGAAAATCTGAGACCCCAAAAGACACAGTACAAGCAGTCAAGGCACTTTGTGTCACTCATTTTATTCCCATATACAAGTTGACACTACACTATTAAATATAGACAATACAGAAGCATTAACAACAAATACTGTTTAAAAACTTTAAAAAACACATATTGCTTCAAGCTTAGATGGTATTTCCCCTATAGTTTTTAAAGTGAATTCAGTGCTAACAATAGCTGAGGCAGCTTCCCATTCAATTGTACCCCTAAGTTTACAGGGGCTGCTGTCAAGATGTTGAATCAGGCTCCATATATGGCTTTGCTTCTGAGTGCACTAACTGAGCTGGAAAATAAACTGGAACATCCAGGTTACCACACACAAGAACCTCAGATTGCTAGCTTTTGGTCCCTATCACAGTTTTAAAAAAAAAAAAATCAGAGGGGCTTTTATAGTTCAGTGGCACTGTATTATACCATTAAAAAAGAAAGGGAACAGATATACTTCCCTACATGTTAAAAATTTGATGAAAATGTGCATTTGCTACCTGGATAACATTCATTCAGGTCTGTCCCTCAGTTTTGTAAGTTTGGCTGTAAGTTTAGCTATGACCATGACTATCTCAGCTTCCAGTGAAAAAGTCTGTAACTCATAGCTGCAGAGATGTGACAGCAGTGACTGAACAGGCATGCTACTGTATTTTACAGGGACATTCTTATGCAGTTTTCATTGTAACATTGTATATTGTAAACACACTAGTCTTCACAACACTATAGTTAAATTGCAGCATTACACATTGTAAGAGTCTTGTTTCACTTAGCTAAGTACTTCCAGAAACAAAAAGGAATAAAGTTATTTTAATGAAGACTTCAGACAACTGAGTATTTACTGTGTTCTTACAAACAAAGTTCTACTTCTAAAACAGTAGTAAGAAGTGTTCATTGCTTGGCTGAATTCAAGAGTCCATGCAAGACAAAGTTTAGAACTTCCTTAATTGATAGGGTGACATTCACTAGGTTTTCCATTTGTCAGTGAGTCCAATTGATACGAGACAGCCACCTCCTGTAAGAATCTACAGAATATAGTTCAAGCTTTTACACTTGAAAAGTTCTGCTTTCCAAGTCAATTGGCTTTTCATTTGTTAACATCCAAACACTAAAATAACAGTTTTCCAGACTTCAGCCCAGCTCATGCCAACTATTTTGCATATACAACTTGCAGTGCTCAGAACTATACTATTTCACATATTCTAAGCAAACCTGCTAGCCTTTTATAGTCCAGTAACGGCCAAATGCAGGAAGGCTACCTGATCTGCAGAACAATTCACCCCTTGTTTCAGGCATTCTACTACTTAAAGCAAGACAGTACCAACATAGCACCCAGGACCATTTTTAGCTACAGACTATTTGAAAAAGCACAACATTGACTCACATGACCTGATTAGTGTCACTACCCTCTTCTAGCAAATTGTTTTGGTGGGAAATAACTCTTGACCAGACAAGGATAAGAACTAGATCATTTCCTCAGTACACAGCAGCCTTGATGCCACTGAAGATTCTCATGCTCTGTAGAACACCTGAACAAGCCTGTTTGAGATGTTTTAAGTTTGGTACCCAGTACCCAAGGCAGAAGACATTTAAGCCTTCTATAATTATTGGAAAGACCAACATTCTAATGGGAGAGCCATCTTATTCAAAAATGCATACTTAAGGCAGGCACGTACTCATCTTTGCTCCTCCATTCTCAGC